GTTCTCATTTCACATATTCTTTCATTATTAAATCCTTCTTTTCCAAATGGACCGATTTCTAACTTGGCTCCTTAATCTTACTAAATCAGTGATTCATTCATGCAAAGATTTCAAATATTTTTCCTTGATTTTCAAAACATGAAATTAAAGTTATAAAACTCTTAGAAGAATATTTGCATGTAATTTATGAAACTTAATTTAACCATAATTTTTCAAAATCAAGCCCAAAATAATTACTTTCTAATTTTACTTTCATAAACTTGATCGTAACTCCAACTCATCATTTTCTTATCAATTTTCCTAGCAAATATTGCATGTATGTAATTCAAATAAACTAACTAATTTAATATATATTCCAAAATATGGTTAAATCAAGTAAGACTATTAAATTACATTACATGCATGTATTAGGGATTTAAAATCAAAACCTCATTTATCTTCAAGATTAATTCTAGATTTCCATGGATTTTAATATTTATAAAACTTTTCCTTCTCTTCAAAATATGGAATTGATTAACTCAAATTCTTCAAAATTTATAATGCATGTAAAGATAAAGTCCAAATTCATGAAAAATAACACAAATTAAACTCAATTACTAAATTTCTAAATTAATTGAACTTTATTTTTCTTTTCATTATATTCAAATTTACATACAATTTGATTCTATTTCTTCTTGATTTGTGATGTTAGGAGGATTAATTCCAAGATTGGAGTTAGAGATCTTACCTAAAGTTGTTGAGTGATTGAATCTCTTCACAAATTCTTGAGTCTCCTTTCTTTTCTTTATTTCCCCTTTGTTTTCTTAGTTGTTTATCTTGAATTCTTACTCTTCAGAAAGCTCTTTTCCAGCAACAAAGATGAGGTGAGCTTTCTCTCACAAAATTTTCTCTGCACACCCACACCCAAATACACCCTCAATTCTACATTGTTCCATAATTCAATTTATGGTCTTCATAAATCTTAATTAGCACAATTAAATAAATCATGACTAATCACAAGTTCCACATAATTTAATTAATCTAATTTGACTTTCATTATAACCCAATTAATTATATTTAATTTTCTCAATTTGATCAGATTTTTATATCAAACTCCCAAAAGGCTCCAAATATCAAATTAAACTTATTACCTTCATCAATTTTGGCTTCTCACATCATTAGGGCCTTCGATTTTAGATCAAACCCAAAATCTCAATCGATACATTACATATTCAATTGATCGCCTCATAAGTAAATTTAGTTCATAATAATCTTAATTCTCAATTCTCACAACCTAATTAACTCCAATTTGAACCCAATTGATCAAATCTCAATTTTCCTAAACTCAATTGAATATTTAATTAAACTCCCATATGGTCCGATACTCGAAATTAAAATAATTCAATTCACCAATTATACTCTTTTGAGCCATTTAGGCTTCCAATTTCTAATTCCAATATAAATTCTCGATAGAAACATATACAGATTAGTCTCCATAATTTTCATAAATCGCAAATTAAATCAGAATAATAGGCAATTAAAATTTAACTCTCCTTAATTAATTAAATGCTAATTATTTTACGTAGTGGGGTCGTCACACCAACCCACCTCTGTTATTTTCCTCCTTCGGTGAGGCTCTCGCCACCACCTATTGTTTAAAAAACTATCAATGGTGGCAAAGGTTAGGGTTTTGGTGGCGGTCGCAAAGAAGGAGCGACTGATTTACGAACTCTCTTTCGCGATCTTCATCTTCATCCTTCGAAACCCACTCTCTTTTCTAGGCAACTCCCTCTCTCCCCATCAATTTCTCTCTCTACCTCACAGGTTGGTCGATTTCTCTTCGTTCAGTTACATAGAGCTGAACTTGTTGAATATATTCGGTGCTCGCATCAACTGAACATTAAGCTTTTGTTCGGAATTGGTTTTACCAACATCGGCAAACGAAGGCAAAAAAATGGGTTTTCTGAACTGGTTATCCATCATTCATCTTTAGTAACATCAATGTGATTCTCTACAATGAAGGAATCACCCTTCGAACTTGGACCCATTACAGTTCCAAGGTTGTTACATTCCTTGAAACATAGTTCGCATCAATCTGATATTCCGAGGTAACAGACGGTTGCTCTGTTGTTATTGCTATTTGAGCAGGTTGCTGGAGAGGGAGGGTCGCCACAGTAGGAGAGGGACTGCTGGAGGAAGGAAGGAGGAGTTGAAGGTGGAAGGTGTAGGGGTGAGGTTCAAAGGGTATATTTGAGATTATGATAAGGGTCCAAAGAAAAATAAAGAGGGAAGCAATTTTAGTGGTGGGGGGCCAAAGAAGTGGGGGGTCTAAAGTAGAAAGGTAGGAACATTTATCAACCTTCTATTTTTAATATATCATCGGACGAACTCTCATACAAGCACACTAAAATTACGAAATGTATAGTACGAAATATATTTATATTTTATGGTAAATGTAATTTTTGTAATTTATCCTATTTTTTTAATTCTTACCAACTAAATTATGACATATACATTTGTTATTAAGAACTTAGTATACATAATAATAACTAGAGGTGGGCACACACTACGTGTGCGCAATTATTTGAAATAGTTGGAGAGAATTGAGGTAGTGGTAATAATAATAATAATAATAATAATAAATCCACCCTCCCTCCCTCCCCCTCTCTTTCAAATTTCAAATCTTGAACACAAACCTCCTTCCCTCCCTCTCTCTCTACCTCCATCGGAGCCCATTCCCGTGCTCTTCTTCAGTTCCTTGTCGGAGCCCAACCCCAAACCCCCTATTACTCTCTTCATCTTCTCTCTTCCTCCCTTTCTCTCTTCGCCATCTCAATCTTCATCAACAGTGCCGACCGAATGGAGCCACTGCAAAAGAAAGAATCTAAAGGAAGAATCTAGTATAAATAATGTTCAGGTGAGTAAACCAATCTTTTTCTATCTTTAACCGAAGTATCTTTTTCTTTCCAGCAAGTATCTAATTTTTTTGGGTCAAGCAAGTATATTTTCATCGGGTTTGTTTCAATAATCTCTACTCTAATCTCCATCATGTTTGTTAATTTCCATTAGGCATTGTGTTTGCTTAATTTCCAGCAGGTTTGTTAATTTCCACAAATTCAAACCAATATCTTTTGAGTCTGGTAGTATTTTTTTGAGGTGTCTAATTCTTTTTCTTCAGTATTAATTTTTTTGGGTCAAGCAAGTATATTTCCAGCAGGTTTGTTTCAATAATCTTGACTCTAATTTTTGGATATCTTTTGAGGTTTGTTAATCTTTAATTTCCAGCAGGTTTGTTAATTAAAATTAGGCATTGCGTTTGCTTAATCTGAAGCATTGTGTTTGCTTAATTTCCAACAGGCTTGCTAATTTTCACAAATTCAAACCAATAATCTGAAGCATTATGTTTGCTTAATAGGCTCACATTAGGCAGCTTGAGGACTTCCTTAAGACCTTTCATTTCCAAACATTGTGGTAAGTATTTGATTTATATTCTTACTTATTTCTTTGGTTGGTTGTATAGGCAATTTATAAGTATGGTTTTTTTTCCTTACAATTATCATTATTTTGGTTTATTAAAATCAAATTGGGGTGGGTGGGGTAGGGGGAGCAAGAAAGAATGAATGATTTAATAAATCAACTATATATATATATATTTACATTTTGTCTCAGTTAAATCTAAACCACATTTCAATTTTTCTATTTCAACGAATAGGCTCTTAACAGAATTATAGAATTCATGAGTTAATTTTTTAAATTAATTGATTTTTAAATTCATGACTTAATTGGTTTGGATTTGTGGTATCATACTGTTCAAGCTTTAATTAATCTCATTAGCAAAAGTCTTTCTATTTTCTTAGAATTCTCTGATTGGTTGTTGAGAGTTTCATTGTTCTAGATTAGTTTAACTAGATATCTTTATGTATTCAGATTCAAATTATTATTTACTAAATTTGATATTTTAAATTGAAGTGGGTCATAATTTATCAAATTGACAAAAATGGGTTAGAGAGAGATGAAAACTTACAACGATATCTAGGTCCCTCTCCTCCCCTCCCGGCTATACTCTCCCTCATCCGCTCTACTTCTGTTGAAATCTGAAGGTATGCGTATCTATAGTCTAGTGGTTATTTCTTAAATCCTTCCCTCTTCCATTACAAACTCTATTCACTTTCATTTTTATCCTATTTTTTTTCTCATTCTCCGAATTATCTCAAAATTTTGAACGAGGTTTAGTGAAACCATGACTTAGTTTTTGAATGAGAGTTTTTTTTTTTAATTTAAATTTTTTACTAAATGTATAATTTATTACACGTCTTCAAACGAGCCTGGAAATGTAGCTTGAGCTCATTTATTAGCTAATCGAACCGAGCTCGAATGAGCTATTAACGAGCAGAGCCTGAACTGTTCATGAACAGCTCTGTTCGTTTGCAGCCTTAGTTATGGTATAGGACTTCTCTACATTAGTCAATTAGTCTTTATTTTCATCTCAAAAAGGTGCTATTTCCACCGTCTCCTTTTGGAAAAGAGGAAACATAGATTACTTTTAAAGTAGTAAAATGTGTCTTTTGATTGATTGATTTATTTATATTTGTATTTCCGTTTACTAATTTGGAAAATATAAATGTGGGTTTCTAAGGCAGTTCCATGGGGCTTGGGCTTTTTATGCTTTTTGATATTGTCAATCATATTGTACATTGTTGTACTCCCTTGATATACCCCACCAGAAAGAGTAAAAAAATGTCAGGCGACATCTCTATTGAAATAAAGTTTGCTTCCTTTTTCTTGTACTACTACTGTTTGTTCTATAAAATTCTTAATTGGATGAGGGAGAGTAAAATGGGGAAAATAACAATGGGAGTCGTTGTAGTGTGCAAGGCTTGTATGCAAGTTAATTCTTAACCGTTAGATTTGATTAAATTAATCTAAACCCTTCAATATTTTATACAGTTTATACCATTTACCTGCTAAACCGGTTGAAACTTTCCCAGCGATTCTCTCTACTTTCATCAGTCACCTCTCTCTCTGGTTTGGCTAAACAGGACTCCTCTCCCTTCTCTGGTCGTCTTCCCCGAATGGAGATCAAAGTCGCAGGCTGTGCAAGGATTGAAGAGGTAAAATTTTCTCCCCCTTGCTCTGAATCTATGGTTTCTCCCTCTCTCTCTCTCTCTCTGATTTCTCTACTCGTTCTCTTGCCCGTTATCATCTCTCACTCTCGTCTCTTGCTTTCGGAGGCTTCTTGAGGATCTCTATCTTCTCTAGTAGCTTATTGGTTCAAAAGAGTTCTCATTGAAGAGGTATGGCTTGAAATCCCTGAAGCCCTATTTCTCGATAAATAGGCAATTTCATGAATCAAACAGTATCTCGCACAACTTGATTATAAGATATATTGGGTGAAATTTGTTGGTAGAATTTGATAGATTATTAGTTAATAATGGATTCTTTGCCTAGTTGGTTAATGTCTTACTTGTTCTATAGCGATCCCGGTTTTACCCTTGTTATACAGTGATCCGGACATGTGTCAGTGGATGTTGGTAGTTGTTTATTTTCTTGTTTACATCCTTTCTTACTTAGTATATGAGTTATGGGATGTGTTGGGCAGGTTTGTTACAGGTTGGTTGAGTTTAGAAACCAATTTAATTTTTGTTTTCTATATTTTATCTCGTCTCTTGCCTATTTACAGTTTGAATGTAATATTTGTTTCATGGCCTCATGGGTTTCAATTGAAAAATTTGGGATTGAAAAAATTAGGTTTGGGGTTGGGATTATTTCTGTATCCATTGTAGTTAACTTATTATATTTTTAATTGATTAAATTGTCTGTGTACCTTGATTTTGATTTTCATTCAGTTGGTAAATAGGAGAAATTATTCAATGCTCGTGGAGCAATGGTAAATAAGCAATTCAATTTAAATTTTTATGAATTTTTATTAGTCCAGATGAAGGGTAAAATTGAATTCATAAATTAAACTGTATCTAGCACAACTTGATTGTTTCTAGCATTGATTGTGCCCTATGATGAGGTTGAGGTTGAGGTTGAGGTTGTTCACTTAGTAAGATGACACTGCCTTAATGAAATTAAATTTTATTTAATTTTGTGATAGGTACATCAATTAGGATAGATAAACAAGTGTTATAGTGGCTGTTTGTTTCCTTGGTGGAGGCCCGACCTGCATGCTCTTGGCTTTCCAAACTAAACCTTGGGCAAATTGAGCTGGATAGCAGCTTGAGTTTAGTGTTGTATGATATACTGTCCTTTATCTCTATTCTCCTCTTGCTTCATTTTTTTCTTTTTTCTTTTTTTATAAAATGTTTTGATAGTATTTTCTTTTCCTTTGTCATGTTTTTGTTAGGTAAGGTAGGGAGACTCAAACTCTAGTCTGTTTATTAAGGTAATGTGACCTACGCAGTTGGGGTATCATTTTTTGCTTATTATTAGATTTTTTTTTTAGTGTTTTTCTTTTTTACATTGGAAACTTAGTCCAAGTGTTTGTTAACTAGATTATTATTCAACAAATCCATTCATGTGTGCATGTGTGCATGTGGTGCAATTGATGAATGTATTGTACAACCTAGATGTAGGATATTTTCAATTCCCACATTAAGTATATATGTCAACTGATGAATGTACTATAACCTTTAAGATTTTTGTTTGTTTGTTTTTTCCCTAATCAAATGTTAGAATAGATGTATAAAATAAATAGAGAATTGTATTATTGATTAATGTATTGATTGTGTATATTACAAGATTGATATGTTGTTGATATTACAAGGCTTCCTATTATATAGGAGAGGATTTGGGAGTAGGTGAGTGTGTGTGTATGGTCGTGTCAGACCATTGGTGAAGATACTCTGTAACACTCTGTGGCCTAGAAAATGGCTTCATCTTCCCGGAGTCTGCTCACTCTCTTTCCCGACCTCAACGAGTCAGGTGGAGTGGGTTATGGTAAATTCTAACATCAAAGATATTAGAAGTTTATTTTTCTTGTCTTTCTTCACAAGGAATTTTGATTGAAGCCTGATGGATTAGTTACATGTGGTTTAAGATTGCTGAGAATCGTCTTAATAACAAAACAGAAAAAGAAACTGATAAATAAAAAAAAAAAAATAGGATAGGAGACACTGTATGGTCGTGTCAGACCGTTGTAGTAGACAGTTTATGGGGTCATGTCGGATCGTTGTAGTAGACAGTTTATGGGGTCATGTCGGACCGTTGTAGCAGACAGTTTACGGGGTCATGTCAGACCGTTGTAGCAGACACTGTGTGGTCGTGTCAGACCGATGTAGAAGACAGTTTACGGGGTCATGTCGGACCGTTGTAGAAGACAGTTTGCGGGGTCATGTTGGACCGTTGTAGCAGGACAGTTTACGAGGTCATGCCGGACCGGTGTAGAAGACAGTTTACGGGGTCATGTCGGACCGTTGTAGCAGACACTGTGTGGTCGTGTCAGACCGATGTAGAAGACAGTTTACGGGGTCATGTCGGACCGTTGTAGAAGACAGTTTACGGGGTCATGTTGGACCGATGTAGAAGACACTGTATGAGTGTGTATATAGGCTGCCCAAAAAATATACATGGATGTAGATATCGAGCCCTTAAAAGTTGTGCCCTCAAAAGATGTGTCCAATCTGTCAAAAGGCGTGCCATCAAAAGGCGTGCCCGATGCATCAAAAGGCGTGCCAAAATGATGGCGAGGCACGTGAGTGCCTTGGCTGGCGTGCCCGTGTTGTCGGCTGGTGGTAAGAGGCGCGCGATGCATAGTGCTCTTTCGTATATACTATTTTCCCACCACCTCATTAACTCTTGTGCAAATAACAACTTTATTTTGGAATTTCTAAAGTTTTGGTATGTTCTTTTATGTCTTTTCATTTTTTTCCCTCTCCCTTAGTTTTGTTTTTTGGTTGAAATGCTTGATTCCTTATTTTTGGCTGGTAAAAGGAGAGCCCAATATCTCTTACATCTGAGCTTATATTTTGAGCGAAGGAGTACACTACAGCTATTGAAGTCTGGTCTGCTGGTTGGTTGTGTTGTTGCTAAACTACTTCTTGAACAGGTACATATTTTGTCCTACAAGGTCCTTTAAGCTTCAATATATCTAAATTATATGGTATGCTTGATGGCCAAATTGAAAAGCAAAATCTTTATGATATAACTTGTACAGTCACACCCTCATTCATCACAGTTTTTGTATTAAAAAAAACTGAGATTAAAAGTTTAAGGTCACAGTTAAAAACTGTGACCTTTAACCAATTTTGTAGTAGTGCTCATATATTAGTAGTATGTATTATGAAACTAAAGTATCAATTATAGAATAAATGTAAATAATAAAATCAAATAATAAGCATAGCATTAATATAAGAGAAGCCCTATTCACAGCCCAAGATTCACTTGTGAGTAGTGGTGGGTTGCAGCGGTAAGCAAGGGTCCTGAAGATCACACCCTTCAACTTCTCATACCTCAAAAGATCTTTATTGTATATATTAATTGTTTTATATATATATTGTACATTAATTTTTTGTAAGATTTTTTTTTGTGTGTGTGTGTCTACAATAGTCCCAAAAAAAAAAAAAAAAACGATATCGTTTTTATTATCTATTTTTTGGGACAAAATAATTTTTGTCACCAATCACCAATCACCAATTTTAGATGCGCTCAATTTTCATATGGTGCCAAAATATTTGGCTCCTTTTTGCAACAAAAAAATTTCCTTACCAAATTAAAAATTTCATCCACATAAAAGTCAACTTCTAATGCGACCTAAGCAGCTGGTGTATCATTTTTTTTTTGTTTATTATTAGATATTTTTTTAGTGTTTTTCTTTTTTACATTGGAAACTTAGTCTCAGTATTTGTTAACTACGTTATTATTAAACAAATCCATTCATGTGTGCAGGTGGTGCACTTGATGAATGTATTGTAAGTTGTAACCTTGAAGATTTTTGAATATTAGAAGTTTATTTTTCTTGTCTTTCTTCACAAGGAATTCTGATTAAAGCCTGATGGATTAGTTACATGTGGTTTAAGATTGCTGAGAATCGTCTTAATAATTCTATTTTTCAAGAACCATGTTAACCTTGTCGTGGCGATATATTCCCACTCTTTTTAGTTGTGCGTGTCCTTTAATTATTAAAAAGAGAAATCATTCTTGATCCAATTTTAATTATGAATTTTTTTATTTTTTATTTTTATAAATAATTTCTAGTAGTTGCCAGATATATTGAGGGCTATGACATTTTTATTCTTTTTCGATTTAATTATGTGGTTGAATTGTGAGTTTTTACCTGTATCTTCCAAGTGTATACATGGTGGATGTGTTGGTGTTAATGGGTTAGATGTCTTGCTTAGGATTGATGTGAAAATGTTCTTCTCATCTTGAATTTATTCATATGGATTAACATCATATTAAATTGTGAATTTGTTAGAAAGAAACTTGAATTTTGTTTGCATATTTATAGGTTTTCTTGTTTTGAGAAATTAGATTTGATTGAATGGTTGAATAACATAGAAGGGAGTTTTTTTCTTGGTCTTAAATGCGTGGGTTTACTCTATTTTGAAAATTACTATATTTAAGTGAGAATAGATGATTTTGGGTTTAGCCTTGTATTAAAATTTGTAAATAATATGAACAAGTATGGAAACAGAGAAACAAATTTGGAGATTGAATTGATTTGCAGTTTTATCCTATACATTATCTTACTGAAACTAAAAAGTTTGGTCATAGATGTTTAAAAACTTACTTACAAAGCACTTTTTTTTTCTTTTTTTCTTTTTTTCCATTTTGAACAGCAAGAAAACAATATTATTGAACTAAAAGGTGAAAACAAGGGGTGGACAAGATGCCCTTGTACAAAGTCGAGATATCTATGCAAAAACCTAAGAAGCGTCAACTAAAACATAAAATAAACCACCTAGTATAACAAACAGCAGCCCAATCTGTAGTAATCGAAAAAAGGGGTATGTCCTTGAAAGAGGGAGACACACAGGCCCAAACTGACGTGACATGTGTCACCTTATCCAACAGAGCATCAACTTCAGATTCCTTTTCATTAAAAATCCTATCATTTCTTTCCAACGAAATGGTCCAAAAGATAGCAAAGATAATGCAAGACCACAATGTTTCGGCCTTCTTATTGCTTCCAAATCTGCCATAGGAAACCAGCAGGAAAGCACATTTTCTTTATTTATTTACGTTGATTTCAAATTGGGGCTGCATATACTCTGGAAAGATTGACGGGTTGATATGGACTATAGGAAATCCAATAGGAATTTGCATTTGGGCTTTTAGAAAAGGTAATAAGCAATGAAATGAGGGGTCTTGTTGCAGTGTGCAACCCCTTAAGAGTTGCACACCATATGTACCTTCATTATTGGCCATTGGATTACACAAATTGATCCTGACCATTGAATTCTTTAATTTTGAAAAACTGGAGACCGGAGCAACCGGTTGACCCATCTCTATTCTCCCTTCTTCCATAGTGTAATCTCTCTCTACTTTCACTTTCGTCTCTCTCTCTCTGTGTCGCCCCCTCTTGCTCTCTTTGCTGCCCCTTCCATCTCTTCCCCTGCTGCTCTCGCTTTTTTCTCTCTCTACTGCGCTCATTCCTCTCTCTCTGGCTCGACTGAATGCATGCCGAAGTGGTTGTTCTGTTTAAAATCCTAATCTAACGCAGTGAGCCTCTGTTTGGTTTCTAAGAAAACAAAGGATTTTTGTTTTTTGAAGGGCAATCAACAAGGTATGCCTCCCTCTGATTATTTCTGAAACCCTCCCTCGTCTAAAACTCTCTTCTTCCCCATTTTTTACTCTGTTTTCCCTCTCTGAATTTGTATTTCAGTCTCCCCTGGCTCACATTGATTCGAAATTTGTACGAATGAAGCAAGGCTTTGTAAGCATTTTATTCTATTTTGCTATTTATATATCTCGGTTGACATTTGTAATGAAGTAATCAATTTTACATTAATTGATATAGTATTTTGTAACCATTTTGTTGCTTCCATGACTTGTTCTTGATTTGTTGCAAAATATTTCGTCTTATTTTGGCATTAAACTTATAGGGTTGATTATGTTATTTGAATTTTGATTGCATTTAAGATGTTTGTAAAAATGCCTAGTTTGTTAGCAATTTTAACAGAAGTATTTTGGAACTATATTTTCATTGCATTTAGATGTTGAAAACTTGTGATTGATTTAACATGTTCTCCGAAGATTTATCCCAAAATATATTTAGTGATATTCACATGAAGCAGTTGTAACTTGTGGTCGGGACCTCCCAATTTGTAAGTTAAGGCAAATAGTTATTCCAAGTGTTTTTGGTAATGTGTAGTACTTATTGTTCTAGTTGAATTAAATAGCCATCTGAATTAAATCTTTTGTTTGATTGTTTTTTAAATATATATATATATATGTATTGAAAAGCGAACGTAGTTCACATACAATAGAAATACTTCCAAAAATGCTAATCAAATAGTGCTTGAACTTCACTTGTATCTTCTTTAAGCATGAGCAGTCGACAAGATACCGAGAAAGTGACTCTAACCAACAAAGCTACTTTGAAAAGTAAAAAGAATTGAAGTATATGATTTTAAATTTTAGCAAGGCAATCGATATGAAGCTTATGCTTAATAAAATGAATTTCCACATCCTTTTTCGAAAGTATATTGATATTAAGAGAATCCATGAATTATTATCTTCCCTCTAAGCATGGAGGCTTTCCTAGCAACCATGAAAGATTAGTGTGAAACTTTAGAATTGAAGTAGTGGGTAGTGTGAGAAAGGAAAAATTTTGAATTTTTCTTCCTTGTTTGCTTGGATTATAAATTTATCATGATAATGTTGGAAAATGTAAGATTGTTAAATTCTGTGTACAATCCATAGCAAGATGGTAAGTTGCTTTTCAATTTCTGGTAAAATATACATAAATGTTTCTTGTAAAAAACAAAGAATGTTTTTTTCACTATTTTGTCACTTTTGATTTCCTATCTAAACATGCTGCTTTTTACACTTGGTTAATTTTAACCTAACAAACTGTTCTTTGTTTTTCGAGTAACATTCTTATGATAAGGGATGTGCATAGTAGCATTTCCTTTATATATGTATATTATATACTTGTAAAATTTATCTTATAAATGCTATATTTTTTGGGACAAGTATCTTAGATGATTGGTTTCAGTTGGATTGTTTATATACATATGCCTAAAAAGAGGGACGAATATCATCAGGATAGTGTAATTTAGTAATTTCAATTTGGGGAACTACATCACAAGGACATTAGGGCTGCAATTAATAAATCAATGATATATTTTTTTATAATTACAACTAAAATGAGAAGGTGAAAAGTAAATATAAAGAAATTGCAATCGCCTATTTGATTTACCAAAATATCCTTCTTTTCTTCCTTTTTCCTTCACTTTGCTTTGGAAATTTGGTCATTGAGTCCCATACAACCAATTTCCTCCCTCCTTGACCAACCCCAACACTTTGCCTGCCACCATCAACCCCTCACCCACCTGTCCCTTCCCTGTTCCACCACTTGAAACCCTTCCCCACCCATTTCCATCAGTTCCTCACGCTACTCTCGTCTACCTCTTTTACACAAGCCCCTTCCAACCCCACCCAACCTAACACCCAATCAACCCAAACCCAAGCCATCGGAACCCGCCAAACTCCTATAGTCCCTCCCCATCTCTACTCTGCACCATCTCTCTCTTCATTATTGTTAAAAGATACAAGTCCAAACTATGCAAGGTGGTGATGATCTACTCCCAATGTTTTGGCGTGATAATTGCATGATATGTATGGAGTGGAAGAATTATATGTACCCAAGAAATTAGTTCGAGCAAGGCTTGTCACTCTAGTGACCAAAAAAAAAAAAGAAGGAAAAATCATGAAGAAATATGTATCAAACTTTTAAAAACAAAGAACAAAAGAGAGAATATTTGTGTTATGTATTTCTATAAATTATTAAATGGTTGAACCAACAAGTAAAACTATAAAGAATGTGAGCTTTGTCAAGATTGATTATTTGGTATCTAAATGTTTTGACTTGTGCATAAAAATCCATACAAAAATTGCTTGAGACTTAGAGCTTATGTGCCTCACTTGGACGTAAGTTTCCACGCTAATGGCTAGACTCAAGAGTTGTATCCATTCACGTTTTGAAAAATCCATGAAAAAAAGAATCCATTTCAATATGCTACCCCTTAAGGGTTGCATATAATATTCTCCCTAGATATTGGCTCTTTTTATTTATTTGTTTTAATTGCTTGAAGGGTTGGTTTTGGTACGTAGTCTAAGTCTTTACGTAATGGCTATTGATAATTCAAACTAATGCATTAAAAGTTTCATCTCTTGTATTGCATATGTGGTTTGTTAATGTGAAAGCATATGTGCAAAATGATATTTTGTTTGCTTTTAAATGATAGCATAGCACTGTCGGGTGTGCTAATTTATTTATTTACTTTTAATTGATAACAGGATACTGGCAGATGTGCTAATTTATTTGTTTTCTTTTAGTTGATAATAGGGCATTACCAGGTGTGATACTTTTTTTTTTTGCAATTGATACTCTAAAGTGCACTATTATTGTCAGTCATACTCTATTGAGGTGTGAATTTATTGGGTTTTATGCCATGCTTGGACTTTTATACCATGTTGTGAGTCCCAAACATGGTGTAAAATTCTATAAAATTAAATCTCACACAACTAGAATTAACATATCAAAAAATATATATTTAGAATTAAATTACAAAAAAATTAAATCACAAAAAAATTACAAAATAAGGAATGAGGATAATAATAAGGATAAAAAAATTACTTTTGTGAAAATAATAAGGATATCAAGTGAATGAGGATATCGCAGGCAGGTAAACTCTACTGTCTTGATGTGCATATTTTTATATAATTTTATGTTATTAAATTTTGTCTATGTAGACTAATGAAAATTTTACACTTCTTGATGATGCGATTGAAGGTGTGGTCATAATGTGGTTTAAAGTGTAGTCTTGCATGTGTGTTTTTTAGTTATTTGAATGAAGTGTGTTCTTTGATTTAGTTTATACCCATTGGAAAAAAATAAAATAAAAAAATTCTAGCGTTGCCACTAATTACACACTGTTTTGAAATGTGAAACACATGGGTGGCAATTACACTCTGTTTTCAAGTGTGTCTGGTTATTAAGCATTACATTTTTAATTTGAGTTTTGAAATATAATTAGTTTCATTCATATGCAATTTGTAATACATCCTTAGTAGTTAGTTGCCATTGGTAGGAAGCTGCATTGGTTGCATTGTCATTGATTACCGTGATATAGGGAGGACAAGATAATGTTCATATAAGTGTCAATCATAGTAAAATTGAAAATTTCTGTTTGGATTTGGTCCTTGTGGCTGCGTTGTCATTGCTTGAACTAACACCAGTGTGGTTTGAACTCCATATTTTGCAAGGCTACCACCCTCTTGGCATAGGATTTTGCTGCATTCGTTCTTGGCACAGAATCCCTTAGACTTTGCCTGTCAAAGCCCTAGGTCACAGCTCTCTCTCTCTCTCTTTGTATTTCCTAAAATCTATTATATATTTTGGTCCATTTTGTAAGCCTTATTCTGGTTATGCTTGTGTTAATATATAGAAGTTGAAGTATCTGCATATTCTTTGGCTCATATATTCTCTCTTTCTCTCCTTGCATTATGTGAACTTTAGTTGCTGATTTTTGCTTCTTTAAAGTTCATTGTTTGAGGGGGTGAAACCCATATCACCTATTTATTATAATTTTCACTACCCCTTCATTTTTGGCTACTTGGAAAACCTAATACGAAGAAAAGAATAGATCCAAGTTTCCATACTTTTGTTTGCTGAGTTGTAATATGCTTACTTGTGCAGATTTTGTTTATTCATTTGTTCTTTTTTTGTTAAATTTTTCATATTCTAAACTTGAACTTTTGTGCTTTTCTCATATTTTCTCTGCAATCTAACACAATATATATATATATATATATATATTTAACTGTTTACTTGGGAATTAAGCAATTTTCTGATGTTAGAGAAGATGTTTATGTGGCCACTCACTCTACTAGTATGTGTCATTACTATGGACTATTATTAATTAAACTTGTTAATATCTACTTAAGTACTCAAGGAAAACATGAAGTTCTCCATAATTTGTATTTAAAACCAGTGAGATTTAGATTTGTCTAGCAATTATATTTTGTAATAATGATATCCTTTGCTCCTTTCTTTCTTGGACTTTTTTTTCTCCCTTTTCCGCAATTGTCACATGGATGCTCCAAATATGCAATTATAGTTAGGAAAATCAACACCACTTATCAATAGTTCTTTATTTGTGATTTTCTTTAATGAGATTATTTGGTTTCCTCTGCCTATCAATTTCGAGTCTACTTTTAGAGCGATAAAGAAGTTTTGATTGCTTTCTTGTAATGCAATAATTTGTGAATATGTTATATATTTGCATGTATACATTTGTTGTTGTGTTTTGGAACCATATTTTTGCTTCAATCTTTTGGGAGCTGTCTGGGTGTGCAACCCATTAAAGGTTGCACATCATATGCAACCCAATTATCTGCCCTTTGATACAAACTCAATTGATCAGGACCATTGAATTGCTTAATGGTAGAAAATGGGAAACCTGAGCAACCGGTTAACTCTCTCTCCTATTTTCCTCTCACTCCCCCACACCCACAACGATTATGCTACTCTTTCTCTCTTTCTTGTCTCTCACTCCTCCTCTGCTGCTCTCACCATCTCTGTGTAATCCTTAATTTCCTGCAATAACTAGTAGCCTCTGTTGAGTTCCAGCCACAATGGACTACAAGCCTCTATTGGCTTCCATTGTTGAAGTGAAGGTGTTCTCTTTAACCAGATAGATATCAGGTATATATGGACCTCTCTCTATCTCTCTATTTGCCCCCTTCACTTTAATGATTTCCCTCTACCAAAGCCTCATCCTAACTGCAACCCCTCTACCACTTCCAAAACTCAAAATCCCTCCATCTGCAACAATAACCCCCCCTCTCTCAAATCGATTTCTGAGAAGCCCTAAAAATCTCTCTTAATTGATTTTTGGCATGCACCGACTTTATGTTTTTTTCATGATCGATCAATTTCTCCATCTCTTTCACACTTCTAAAATCAATTCTATTTCTGCTCCTTGTAGTTATAGTTTCATTTTCCAAGTTAATTGTAGAATATGTGGTGTGCTTTAATAATTCAAAACACACACATGCACACTTGCATTGCATAGTTGGTTTGTTAACCCAACTCTATTTGTACAAGCACAAAGGGAAGAAAGGGGGAATTGATATTGACAAACAGAAGAAGAAAAAAGGAAAAAAAAATGACGAAATGAATGAAGAAAAATAAATGTAAGAAAGGGGTGGGTAATTGTTTGTGTTTGGAAGGGCATTGTCAATTCTTCCTTAATGGCTTTAATTGGCTATATTCTTCTCTATTTGGTGATAACGGGTTTAATGTATTTTTTGAAAAAAATATGATTTTAATATTTTTAGATTTTGCATGTTATGGTGATTTGGTTAAAATAGTTTAGTTCATGACCATTGTTGAATTTAATGAATGGAATGTGTGGAAAGTGAATGATATATTCTATGTGAAGAAAAAATGAGATTATTGTGTTGTTCAACATTACTTGAATTAAGATCTTTTAATCTGTTGCCGGTGTATCTTAATTCCGCAGTCTACCAATTTATTGTCATTGTTGAATTAGTAAGCTTTTGGCTTCTATAATTTTTGGATTTCAACTAGTTTTTTCTATATTGTTCATATTAACTTGAAAATATTATCAAATGTCAAGGGCCCTTGCTTGGGTTTTGATCCTTACTAAAGTAACTGCCATTGTGGATTGTAACTCTTAGTTGATTGGACATGCTGAAGAATTAAATTGACAATTTTTCTTGTAGTGTGGCAGGTATAACCATCATTGTGGATTGTAACTCTTAGTTGATTGGATATGTTGAAGAATTAAATTGACAATTTCTCTTGCAATGTGGCAAGTATATGAGTTTAATATATGGAATTCAGGTCTTGTTGAGCCAAGTTTCTATATGCAACTTTGTTGATTCTCATAATTATGCATACTTTTTTGCAAATAACTTTTTTTTATATGCAGTCTACCCATGGTGGCTAGTTAGTAGCTCATTCTTGAATAGAAAATTGATTTACCGAACAAGTCTAGAAAATGAAATAAATATATTAAGAACTCAATAAAAATGCAATCATCTCCTGGAACAAAATGTTTGTTATGCTTAATAGCTTTAGTGCGATCTATATTTGTATGAATTATGCCCTTTGCTCAAGTAGTTTTTTCTTCGGTAAAAGACATGAAGTTTCTTGTCACGGATGTTACAAAATGCAACTTTGTTGATTCTCATGGAACCTTGCATAATTTTTTTGCAAATAACTTCTTTTTTCTTTCAACTGTCATTCGTATTACTTTTTAATTATTCTTCATTTTGATAGAGTTGAAAATGCTTTAAACTTAGTTGAAGAAAGGCGTTAGAGGGGGGCAAAAATACGAAACAGTGCCTAAACCACTATAGGGATGTCACTGGCAGCTTGCTTGTGACAAGTACGACCTGTTGGGACATGTGGGATGTAATTAGGACACGTATGTTGCGAGTTAGAGTAAAAAACGCCTTAAACTTAGTTGAAAAAGTACATTGGGGAGCCGAAAATGCTAAACAATCTCGAACCACTTTGGGGATTGCGCGGGCAGCTTCCTCATGCCTAATAGAACATATGGGGACATACGGCCTGTGAGTAGGACACATAGGTTGGGAGTTAGAGCTGAAAATGCCTTAAACTTAACTGAAAAATTGCATTTCGGGAGGGGGAAACTTGTCCGGACATGCAACATATGATTACGACTATAATTATACAATTTTGAAAAGATTATATACATTCGAGTTTTATATAATTTTCTTTTATAATTTGAAATGATGACATTATTCAATCAATACTAATGGTTAATTTTATTTTTACAGATGGTTTTTGGCGTGGAAAAGTGGATATTCTTTATTTATGTGCAGAGAACTGTTTTTTTTATAATCTGTTATTATGTTGTCCTTTGTTTTTTTTTTTTTTAGATTACTATTGTTCGTACAGATAACTACTGGCGTGATACTAATTGCTTTTGGCATAGAACATATTACTTTTGGCATGGTATAGATTACCATTTGACATGGTATTGTGGATATTTCTTTTTTTTGTGTACAGAAGACATGATTTTTGTATAATCCTCTGTTTCATATAGAATTATTATTTTAAGTTGGATAATGCTTGATGCATGTGGAATTTCTATTATATTTTGAATTTGACGTTAAAAGTTAAATTTTCTTCGATTGTTATTATTTTCTTTATATACAAGGTAAAGGTTGCACAGAATAAATACAAGTTGTGGCGAAATTAATATATATATATATATATATATATATAAAAACACTAAAAAAACACCAAAGAAAGTTTTTGACGATTAAACAAGTACATTGGGGAGCCGAAAATGCTAAACAATCTCGAACCACTCCGGGGATTGCGCGGGCAGCTTCCTCATGCCTAATAGAACATATGGGGACATACGGCCTGTGAGTAGGACACCTAGGTTGGGAGTTAGAGCTGAAAATGCCTTAAACTTAACTGAAAAATTGCATTTCGGGAGGGGGAAACTTGGGGGAAACTTGTCCGGACATGCAACATATGATTACGACTATACAATTTTGAAAAGATTATATACATTCGAGTTTTATATAATTTTCTTTTATAATTTGAAATGATGACGTTATTCAATCAATACTAATGGTTAATTTTATTTTTATAGATGGTTTTTGGCGTGGAAAAGTGGATATTCCTTATTTATGTGCATAGGACTGTTTTTTTTTTTATAATCTCTTATTATGTTGTCCTTTGTTTTTTTTTTTTTTTGGATTACTATTGTTCGTACAGATAACTACTGGCATGATACTAATTGCTTTTGGCATAGAACATATTACTTTTGGCATGGTATAGATTACAATTTGACATGGTATTGTGGATATTTCTTTTTTTTGTGTACAGAAGACATGATTTTTGTATAATCACCTGTTTCGTATAGAATTATTATTTTAAGTTGGATTATGCTTGATGCATGTGGAATTTCCATTATATTTCGAATTTGACGTTAAAAGTTAAATTTTCTTCGATTGTTATTATTTTCTTTATATACAAGGTAAAGGTTGCACAGAATAAATACAAGTTGTGGCGAAATTAATATATATATATATATATAACACTAAAAAAACACTAAAGAAAGTTTTTGACGATTAAACATTTAGCCAAAAGGAAATCAAGGCTTTTTTGCGATTAAATATTTGATGGCCAAAAGAAAGAAAATATTTTTGGTGACTATATAGTTTCTAGTAAAAAAAAAAAAAATAAGATGAAAAATAAATTATATTTGGTGACTAAATATTTAGTAGCCTAAAAAATTTGAAGTTTTTGCCTACAAAAAAGTTTGGTTTGCTAGCTAAAGGAGTCAATTAGATGTTTGGCTACATAATAAATTTGTCGCTGATAATGGAAAAAAGAATTGGTGACTATATATTTTAATCACTAAATAAAACATAGTAGTGATATAATTTATCCACGACTAAAATTTAGTCGATAAAAATTCAAATTAAATTTATAGAAAAATTTATGGCGACTAAATTATTAGTCGCCGAATGGTATTCATTGGCTACTAAAATAATTCTAGTCGCCAATACTTTCCAGACAATTAGTCAACGATCAATTAAGTGACTAAATAATTTAATTGGGAATTACATTCGTCGACTAAAAATGATTTTTAGCGACTAAAAATTTAGTTTCCAAATGTGCAATTTCTTGTAGTGTATAACTAGTTTATTATCCTAATTAATTTTAATAGACTTGATTAACTAATAGTAATTTTAAGATTGGGTGAAATTTTTTTTTATAATTCGGTAACTACCCGGTACAGGTATGACATGTTTGGCGACATACCCATTCTTCATATTTTCAAGATAATTCTAAATGAGAATTTTTATATTTTTTTGCAAAGTATATATTTACAAGCCATTTTTTTGCAAAGTATATATTATTTACAAGCCATTTTCATAGTTTGATGATATTTGCATGTCAATCCAGATTGATTAAAGTGCAAAAAAATATATGTTGCAACACATGTAAGTGAAGCTATTGTAAATAATCTTTGCATGTGAAATTGTCAAGTACCTATCAAATTCATTCTCATTCAATTGCATAATTGATTGGTGATGAAATGACTTATAATTTTACTTCCAATCGATTGGTTATGAAATTGTCAATTACTTATATTGATTTTCATTCAATTGCACAATTGATTGGTGATCAAATGTTCTACAATTTCACTCCACATTGACATGATATGCACTCAGAAAACAATAACCAATTTCACCTACAACTCACTTTCAGGTAAATCTTGTAGAACATTAGATGCATCTAATTTGCATAAGCTAGTTTCATGGCACAAGCAAGCATATATTGAATTAAAATAGTCAACAAAAGAAAAGCCTCAAAAGAATGAAAAAGACTTGACCCTTAGAGAAAGAGTGAAGGCAAAATTCTTCCTTAATCTGTTAGGCTTGTGCAAATCAAGTGGTGAGAAGCTATTGGTTTTCAGCCATTATCTCCAGGCACTTAAGTTCTTGGAAAGGCTAGCCATGAAAGTGAAGGGTTGGACTCTAGGAAAAGAAATGTTTGTAATCATCGGTGATTCCAGTTCTAAGATTAGAGAGTGGTCCATGGATTGTTTTAACACTTCCCCATATGCTTGAGTCTTCTATGGATTAATAAAAGCATGTGGGGAAGGAATATCTCTTTACACAAAATTGAAAATCATCATCATCATTTCAACTATTTGAATTGGGTTTCCTATGTTTTAAGTTCAATTCCATCAACTATGCATGAACTTAGCACTCAAAGAAACATTTGTTTGTAAACATAAGTTCCGACAATATAAAGGCACTGATTATTACAAAATTTAAGCTTTGGTAGTTGAGAGACATTGAATGACTCGGTATGTTTTGTGATTCCTTGAGAGCAAATAACCCAAGTTACTATTGCGAGTCACAAGCATCAATGAAAAAAAATAAAAAATAAAAACAAGAGAGAATAATTTCCGAAAACTAAAGCCAAATAAAAGGATCACACATCCTAGCAAACATAGTATATACCGAGCAAACATAAAACATGACAAAGGAACCATGTACATAATAATGACCACCTACAAAGAATACAAGTTTTGAGCTCAACTGTCACGACCCCATCCCGCCCCTAGTAGAATGGTGCCGTGATGGCCAGTAATCTGAGATTACCAAAGGCCAACTTGCGGAGATCCACACACAATCAGAATATACATATGGGGCTTACATGTACGGAAGCAATAAATTTAAATATAATTAGTCCATAAGAGCTGTGCACAGATTAAATGGAATGACATACAACTTATCAAGGTCTAACAACTTGAATACAATTAAAATAAAGTACAAAATACATCTTGATCAAAAGGCTTCTCAAGCCAACATATACAAAAGAGATAGCTACAAGCCAAGAAGCATAATCTTCAAGATGCTACAAAACATGAATCCAAAAACATCTTGCAAACAATCATCTAGGCGTCACCGCCTTCCTGCTCGTCACCTACATATATATAAAGAGGGTGAGCTTGGATACTCAGTGAATGATACCAGTAATAAAGGTTTTGCATGATTGATATTCAAGATCTCTTTTCTAAACAATACATAGCATAACTTATACAAAATCAAGGGATGAACCAAGTCCATCTATCTAGTCTTTCAAATCTTCAAGGGATGCTTACTAGCATCAATATAATACAAGGGATGACATTCCGGACAAACAAACCCACGCGGAAAACAGTCAGTGGCAAAACAAAGGTGCAGTTGCATTATAGTCCCCTGGCACTAAGGACTTTCAAAACAAGGGTGAGTGGTCCATGGATTGTTTTAACACTTCCCCAGATGCTCGAGTCTTCTTTGGATTAATAAAAGCATATGGGGAAGGAATATCTCTTTACACAAAATTGAAAATCATCATCATCATTTCAACTATTTGAATTGGGTTTCCTATGTTTTAAGTTCAATTCCATCAACTATGCATGAACTTAGCACTCAAAGAAACATTTGTTTGTAAACATAAGTTCCGGCAATATAAAGACACTGATTACTACAAAATTTAAGCTTTGGTAGTTGAGAGACATTGAATGACTCGGTGTGTTTTGTGATTTCTTGAGAGCAAATAACCTAAGTTACTATTGCGAGTCACAAGCATCAATGAAAAAAAAATAAAAAATAAAAACAAGAGAGAATAATTTCCAAAAACTAAAGCCAAATAAAAGGATCACACATCCTAGCAAACATAGTATATACCTAGCAAACATAAAACATAACAAAGG